ATTTTCTCATATTAATTCCATTCCCTTCTTTCCTTTCCCCTAACCCTCCCATTTCCCCTTCCCCTTTGCCCCTTTTCTTCCTACTTCACATTATGTGATATACCTTTTAGTCCTACTTTCAGTTTCTCACAGTAGAGAAACTATTCAGTATTTACACGTGTGTCCTCTTTCTTTCAGTTAAGAGTATGGCCTCAGTGTGCATCCATTTAGCAATAAATGTCTGTAATTTCTCATTTTTTATGGCTGAGTAGTAGTATTAAAAAACTACATTTTCTTGATCCAGTCTCCAGTTGATGAGTAACTGGATTGCTTCCAAGTTTTAGCTATTACAAATTGTGCTGCTATGAACACGGGTGCGCATATATCACTGTGGTATGATTCTTTTAATTCTTTGGGGAAGATCCCCAGCACGGGAATAGCTGGGTCAAATGGGACTTCAGGTCCTAATTCTTTGAGGTATCTCCATACTGATTTCCACAGTGGTTGCACCAGTCTACGCGCCCACCAGCAGTGGAGCAGGGTTCCTCTTTCCCCACAGCCCACCAGCATTTGTTTTTGGTTTATTTCATGATAGGAGCCATTCTTTCTGGAGTGAGGTGGAGTCTCAGTGTTGTTTTCATCTGCATCTCTTGAATGACCAGTGATGTTGAACATTTTTTCATATATTTATTTGCTATTTCTACTTCTTTGAGAATTGTCTGATCATTTCAGATGCCCATTTTTGGATTGGGACTTTAAATTTGGGAGGTCTGATCTTTTAAAATTCTTTATAGATTCTAGATAGTAGACCTTTGTGTGAGGAACAGCATGTGAAGATTTTTTTCCCACATTGTGGGTTGTCTCTTCGCACTGTTGGTGTGGTTTCTCTTGCTGTGCAAAAGCTTTTTAGTAAGAAGAGATTCCACTTGTTGATTGTCTGTGCTAGTTCATGGGCAACTGAGGTTTTGTTCATAAAATCTTTTCCTACACCAGTGTCTTCAAGAGTTCTACCTAACCTCTGTTCCAGCCAGTTCAGCATTTCTGTTTTAATATTTAGATCTTTAATCCATTTTGATTTTAATTTAGTGCATGATGAGAGATACAGGTCTAGTTTTAATCTGTGGCAAGTTGAAATCCAATTTTTCCAGCACCGTTTATTAAAGAGGCTATCTTTCCTCCAGTGAGGGTGTTTGGCTCCTTTGTTGAAGATGAAATGGCTGAGTATGTCTGAAGTTGTTTCTGCATCTTTTAATCTGTTCCACTGGTCTTTAGGTCTGTTTCTTTGCCAGTACCATGCTGTTTTTATCACAGTAGCTTTCAGTCTAGTTTCAAGTTGGGGGTTGTGATACCCCCTGCCATATCTCTGTTGCCTAGAATTGCTTTTGCTATTCCGCATCTCTTCTTGTTCCAAATGAATTTTTGGATTGTTTTCTCAAGGTCTGTGAAGTATGCTGCTGGAATTTCAATTGGGATTGCATTGAATCTATATAGCAGTTTTGGAAGTATGGCTATTTTAACTCTGTTGATTCTTCCTAATCAGGAGCAAGGGATGTCTTTCCATTTCCTGATATCGTCTTCAATCTCTCTTTGCAGAGTGCTAATGTTTTCAGAGAAGAGGTCTTTGATTTCTTTTGTTAGGTTGATTCCTAGGTATTTCAGTTTTTTGAATGCTACGGTGAAAGGAATTGTTTGCCCTATTTCTCTCTCAGTGAGTCTGTTGTTTGTGTACAGGAAAGCTATTGATTTTTATGTGTTGACCTC